TGTGCGTTTTTTATTTTTAATCATTTTCGTTCGAAGATACTCTTTTATGACACTTCCCATCTCTCGGATACGTAAATAAGGAAGGTGTTCTTTATTCGATGTTTCTCATTCCACAATTCTTATAATAACACTTCACTCATTCCAAATACAGGCGAAAAGTCGGTAAAATTCTAACAGCCCGTAAAACAATATTAATCTTTTACGGAACCGTGGACCAACTGCTCTACATCTCTAACCCCTAGCATGGAGGCGCTGGACAGTGTGTCCACTTCTTCTGCATCTCCAAACCCCAGCGTGGAAATGCACTGCATGTATCAGAGCATTATTTCAATTTTATTATTGTTGTTATAATAAATTAATACATTCATTGCGTCCCTACGCTGGGGGCAAAAGATGCAGAGTGGTTGGGTCCACGGTCCCAAGAGATTAGAACGAATAAGCTATCCAAAAACAAGAACACAGACCTATTCGTGGAGACGTCACAGAGTGCGCAGTAGAAATCAGATTTCCATTTCCAGCTGACTTGAATGGGGTCACCAAATGACTACTGTCTTCCTCGCCTTCATAAATTGGCTCATTATGTAATGACTGCACCCCATGGATCTGAAAAAGTATCGCTAAGTCACTAACAACACTTTCAGATTTATGATCACATAAAATACCCGCATCTTCAAATCTAAGCAAGAGACTTTGTACTGTTAGAGTGGATCACTAATAGAGGTAACAACGTAAGAAACATATGACATTTCTCGAAAAAATGATAATTTTTCACAAACATTTTCTTTCACTTCCACGTTTGGAAATTTTGAACCTTTGAAATTTTAATTTTTATTTGTCCAGATAAATGTTCTGTGATATCGATGAAACAATGAGTAGGGAAAATTTCAGAAGTAAAATACTGATTCTAAAAACTATTCCTATTGCTGTTTGGTGGATATTTTGGTACCCTATTCTGAGTTCCTGAAGGCACAGACGAGTCAAGAAATTACTGTTTCAAAAAGCCATATTTGTGAAATTAAGTGCAGACGAAGTTACCGATTTGAAAGGATAACCATCGACACTTTGAGCAGTTCGTCCGTAATGAGTATTTTCGTCGAAACTGTGCAGTAGACGACGTGTCAGGTGCTCGAAGAGAACCCTATTACAATAGAACATTTATAGGATCTACCACCCATAAAGAGCATCAATCTCTAAGATTTCCTCGGAAGGATAAATACATATGCATGTAATACCGACTCATTCAAGAAATTAGTTACAGAAGAAACACCTGTCTTTGGAACAGAGCTGGGTTTGGAGACGGGCGAGGTTTCACTATGCTCGGTGCAGGGTGATAAGTCGATGACAATGGAGCAGTGGTAATAATTGCTGACTGTGGATCCTTAAGGGGAACTTTGGAAATCGACCGTTCTTGAGAAAAAAAAGAAATATAGAATGATCACCTGTAACCGTTCACTGATAGGGATTTGCTTTCGAAAAGACTGATAAGCTTGATTTGTCCGATGGAGTGCAGTATTCGAATCGCTAAAGAGAAAAGTATTTTGAAAAATGTTCCTAGAACGTACGACAGAGTCAGCTACTTCAATAAATGGTAAAAAAAATGACAGATTTAAAGTGCTAAAGAATACTTCACTGGTTAATAAAAGAATAAAGGCTTCGGAGTTGATCAGTTTCTGAGGGAAGCGCCACCCATTCGACTTCGTCAAGCATTGTTTAAGGTGACTGAATGAAAATCTGGACTATAGCAGCATCTCGTGGTGGCTTACTGACGTACCAAGTCAGTGCTGCTACCGTTCCAGAAAAATTTGGTACCAATCACCGAGCCCGGAAGAATGGAGGGCTTTGTGAGTCTCAGGTCTCGGTATCGAGCCATCGACCATGTGTGCGTCACAGGGCACCTCTGATCTTGCGCCATACGTGTCGATGTGTTTTCTAAGTGATGAAATGCTGTTGGTCATAACGCAAAATAGGTCGTTCGAAAGGATTAATCAGTTTCATCGCTAAACCTTATGAAAGCAAGTGTCAGAGGACATATTGCTTCTGGATTTAACCTTCACGTGGATGTCGTGAAGCACTGATAGGGCAGATCTTTTTGCGATTTCGAGGATAGCTAGGCCGGGATGTTTTCTAGGGCGACCGTTGATTAATAGATGAAGAGTGTTTGGGAGACGGAGGAAGGAGGATCGACTCCGCACCGAGATGCATTAAACACTCAGCCACGCCACAAAAATTTTGCCGCCAACATTTAGAATGGTTTTGGCAGCTTGACTGAATCTTTTTTAACCAGTGATTACCTTTCTTAAATCCAAAAGAAGAACACACGTGAAAGATGAAGAAGCGAAGCGAAGTATGTTAGCAAATATAACATAGCAAATATGAAACAATTATCTCACCCTTCTTTCCTCGTCCCACTTTGGATTCAACGCTTTTTCCAAACTCTGCATATTTTCCTCGTCTCGCTTCTTTTTCCTCTCCAAACAAATTGAGAACGCGCATCCAACGGCATGAGAAAGACGCTCTCCCTTCAATAATTCATATATAACAATAACAATTTTGTATATTTGAAAAAAATGGAAACGTTTACGAACCGACTCTTTGGTTGCATGGAAACCATGACACATCCATCGTCTCGATGTCCCATCTCTACAAATGTAAGCAAAGCCTTTATCATTGTTGCGATCCGGAGCACAGAAAGATACCTAAATATTGGTGTCATTATCTATCATTCTAAAAAAATTTTTCATAGACATAAAGAGGACCCTACTACAAAGTAACAGATGAAAGCACAAAGTAGGATGCAAGTAACCTCTTACTCGAAAACTCTACTTCTCTCCAGCTTCACCATACCGATAAAATTTTTGATGCAAGTAAACATAACAAGTCCGCCGACAGCGGAACCGCGAAGAGAACTAGGGAGGAACTCAGTGATCACCCAGTTTCAATGAACTACACAAGGGCAGTATAATTCTAGAGGTTTTAAATGTATCACTAGCAAGCCACGACTAAGCTCATCTGATTACAAGATTACAGGTAGAAAGGCTCCGGCGTTAATCATCAACTGACGGATGCGCCAGGCATTCGGCTCCCTCCATCAGATATCATCAAAAATAACAGAATGCTCAAGTGACCTTCACAATGACTTGCGTGACTACCACCTCAATACTCCCATCCTCCTAAAAAGTTCGGTACCATTTCGCCGACCTCGGAGGGACGGAAACTGGAGTTCTGGCGCAGGAACAAATTATCGGCCACATGTCGCAGAGCGTCTCACCACTCCGCTACACGCATTATCTTTCAAAATACAGAGACCAAGCGAGTAACTTTTTTAATAAAATCACAGCAAGACTCCTCTAAGGACGATAATATTACGTAATCGTGCCAAAATTACTGCTCCATGAAAACTGCTCAAATTTACGCAGCCTTCAAAAAAAAAAAACCACAGTACGAAATGGCGATGTAACACAATACATAGAAATTAGGATTCTACACAAAACGATAAAGGCAATCGGTTAAAAGTCACGATAGCGCAGTGGTTAGCGTACGCCCTGTAAAGGTAAGACGCGGATCAACTTCCGCTCAAGGTTCAAAATTTTTCTTAATATCACTCAATATTTCCAGATGCATGGGTAAATGTCCACACAGTAGTGTAGAACTGAAAGATCAATAATGAGGCAAAAAACGAACTTTTTCTATTGTTTGGTCGACAATCAATCCTCTGTTGTTCTCCTGATCCACCACTCGTAATCCATCTCCAGACACGTACAAAACTGCTTTTATCGACCGCCGTCTGTTGCTCTAAAAATACACAACTGTCCACCTTTTATTGTGGCATTATTTATACCCAAAAAAATTTCGCCCTCAAGGAATAAACACTGAAACGACAAAAGTAACCATTAGGCATCTTGAAATTTGAGCGTGGTCTCAAGAAACACTCGAAACGAGTGCGCATTGAAAAAAAAACAATTCAAAACTTGGGTAAACGAACATACCCTCAACATTTTTAGAGCTCCTTCGCACACTTGCATACCACGAGACTCGTACACCTCTATGGCACCAAGGTACTGTACAGAAAAAGTTCATAATTACACAGATCACAGAAAAAAGGCGAACAATAAGAAACCAAAGGAAGTCAGATCAATGACGGACCTTGACGCTGAAATGACAGAGACCAGCTCTTACTGCGGCTTCGTCCGGTTGCCATTGTTCTTGCCTGTGATGTCCTCCGTTTCCACCTGAAGTGACAAGCTCGGACGGAGCGCTGTTCTCAGGGCTATGCCGTCCTCTCATTCGAAACGACTGACGAATTGACCGGCGAAGACGGTTCATTGAGCGTCCCAAGAATGAGCTGAACCATAAGTTCGTTAGAGATTGCTAGCTTCTCTGCACCAAACCATTTGATTCAAAAGGTGAAGTCTCATACTGTCGCCGCAAAGATAAGATTCAGGAGCATAGAGGATACAGAGAGACTCATAAGTACTACGACGAGGCGGTAACAAGTGATGCCAACAGTTGGGAGAAGAAAAAGCCTCGGTTTGTTGACAGTTACCACTCAGATATTTAGAATCATTTAAAATAAAGTAGAACAAAGGGACCACAATCCAGGCAACTTGTGCCACCAAGTAGGGCAAAAATTCATGAATATTTCACAACTTGGAGGAACCTCAACTTTATTTATGAACGCATAATCATGCATGATTTATAGAGGGGCAACTGGATTCCGTCTTTCGAAAACAAAACAAGAAGGCCAAGGATGATGAGTGATCTGCAAAGTACTCGACCCAAGGTGGGAGTCGAACCCGCGCTCCAGACATCCGAGGCGCATGATACCACCACACTACCGAAGCCACAGCTTTATCGCCACTTTTTCTTCGATTTTAAATATCGAAGCAGCAACAACTATCCATCAAAGGGCTTGCTCTGGTAAGCATATATCGGGATCTAACCCTATTAAGCTGACAGCTTTTGGATATGTATAATACAAAAAAATTCTTATTTGAGTGGTGGCCTCGGTGGTGCACTGGCAGCACGTGCCCCCGGTATGGGTGAAAAGCGGGTTCAACTCCCGTCCGGGGTCGACTATTTTACATAACACTCTGTATCTTTGAATATATATTTATAACGCCAGTGCTACTAAAGCGACGAAATAAAAAAAATAATGAAGATCATAAACAGGAAAGAGATTTTTCTCGAGCCAACACTTACGCAGCCTTTTCATTGAAGGTCTATTCTGAAAATCAATTAAATCTCATCATTGACGGACGCCAAAACTTTCATATTTATACAAAAATCATATGAAAATGGCTGAAAAAAGTGAGCCAAGATGAACATATCTGAACTGTAATGTTCACAAAAATGATATGAAGCGTCCCCGTCCATTGTATGAACACCTGTTGTTATGACGAACTGCTTCCCAGGTTGTCATTGGCGTCAAAGCTTTAAGCTCCATAGATCAAACAGCGTCTATTCGATGGACATGTGGAAAGCTCGTGCCCTTTTGGACTTTCGATATGATCTTTGCGATGAAATTGCATGTCTTGGTACCGTTCAGTTACTCGTTTTCTTGTGAACATTTTGATATACAGCTTGCCTATACTTGCTTCAAGATGGAGCTGTCGTGGGAAGAAATTCGCTTGTCTAGTCATGCACGAATGACACGTAGGGAAAATCTTAGTGAAGCGGCGCGCAGGATTGATGGAGCTTCCTGGGGACGGCCCGAGCGCTACTGATCCTCTAAAGTGTCTTATCTAGCTTCGAACTTCGCGAGCCACTTCCTAGCCGTCCCTTCTGGAACCATATTACCGCCCCAAGCTCCACTAATGTTGCGCGCCGCTTCACTAGCGCTTTTCACTATGCGCAATTCGGTGCAAGAGTAGCAAGCGAATTTGTTCCCAAGACACCTCCATCTTATAGCAAGTATAGGCAGGCTGCGTACTTTTCCCGTTAGACGGCGACAAATAAGTACTCGACTCTATTAACTGCACAAGATCTTTTCATAAGAGTGTTAGTAATCGTATGAAAGTTTAAATCAGTGGCACATGTTACTTAGCCGTTTTCCGAAAACACTCTTTTATAACGCTTCAACGAAAGGAAAACATTTCTGTTTCAATATGCCTGGTAATCATTTTTTGAGCCAAGTATGTCAGTGGTCCGTCAATGAGGGCTGACTTATAGAGCCCGCTACACGTGTTTCGATCTTGCAATCTCGTCAGTCGGCAGTTATCCTTTCTCGTCTTTTGCCCATCCTGTGTGGGTGCTCCAGTCCCCACACTAAGAGTTGGCGATGACGAACGTTTTACAATCTTTGTCCAGTGAAATTATCACCGAACACAGAGTGTTGTACACTCGATTGTTCTTGGCTAGTATTTTCAATAATCATCTTTCGTTCCGAGTGTTTTTTTAAAAGCATAGCTCAAATTTCAATAGGCCTAGTAAAAAAAAAAAAGAACAATAGAGTGTATAACGCTCAGTGTTCGGTGATAATTTCACTAAACCTAGAGTTCAATACGTTCGTCGTCGCTGACTCTTAGTGTGGGGACTGGAGTACCCACACAGGATTGGCAAACGACGAGAAAGGTTAACTGGCCGACTGACAAGATCGCAAGATCGAAACACGTGTGTATCGGGCTCTATAGATCAGCCCTCTTTGATAGACCACTGATATGCGTGGCTCAAAAAATGATTACCAGGCATATTGAATTTTGAGCTGTGGTCTTAAGAAAACACTCAAAACGAAAGATATTTCTGTGCCACACACGCGTTTTTCTCGCAAGACAGCGCTCTTTCTCCAGACTATCAAACACTTACGCCAGCAACGGGTCTTGGGTTTTGACTAATCTACGGAGTGGGGAGGCGGCGGAAAGGACCGATTAAACGCCGATCAATCCACTGGCCTTTCCCCGGGCCCTAGAGATGTGCAATTTTTTCTAATGCAAATAAAAATCATTTCTCCACTTTGAGAGAAACTCCAGATTATACGTCTCACTCCAATACTAAGAGGTTTTCTCCACACGTTCATGTGCATTTCGTGCTTCCAGCGAAAAAAATAGTTGATTTGCGCGGCCGATGTAAAACACAACTTCATTTTGAGTTTGACAGCGTTATAAGAGGATCTTTTCAAAAAATGGTCAAGTAGCGCGCAAGCCAGAGATTTAATCTTTTAAATGACTACTAACACTCTTATGAAGAGCTATTGCCTAGCGGACGGGATCGTATATTCATTTGACCATAATATCACCAGAAAATGCTCAACTGAACGATACCAAAATCATGCAGTTTCACTGCAAAAACCATATCAAAAACGAAAACGGGAGCACTTTTTAGAAAACCTATTAGCATATTCACGACGTGACCTCTTTAGAAGTCTTGCAATCCAAAAATGAAGAGACCATCTCCAGCTTCAAATTGACATTTCCCAGTTCTCAGTTTAATTCTGTTGATTTCAATGAAATCAATCAGAATCTGCAAATATCTGCAAACGATATAGAAGGTGTGATGAGCCTTTTTATGGGAAAATTGCCATTTTCTGGAGCTCATGACATATATTCCTTATAAGTCGTTACTTTGAGGAGTGAAGTTCGTCGAGCATGACATCATGTGGATCGGTGTGGCGCAGTAATCAGATCCCACACTCACGTACACTTAGTCGATGGTTCAATCCTTGGCTCAAGACTCACGAAGCCCTCCATCGCTGCGGGGTAGGCGAATTGATATCAGTCTTGTCTGGGAGAATAGCCGCACTGACCTGATAGATCGAGAGGTCACCTCTAGTCATTGTAAAGACCAGAAACGCATTCAATCACTCCTAACGATGCTCCGGTTGGAATCGAATGCATGGCGGATCCTCCGGGGTTAATCAACGCCGGGGGCTTTATTACCTATTTCATTGCCTCATGGCCTTCCAATGTATCATTTGTCTGCAGCTATCTCCCTTCCGTTGGAAAATTCAATGGCGTAAATTTCCTACGCATTTTTGAAGGTTTTAATCCTGAATGTATTCAAATTCGAATGTTCGCTGCATAATAAATCCATATGCAGTTGATATAAGACGATACACCGTCAGCAAATCTATACAGTCCCAAGCTGATAAAATACTCTCAAACCTTATATATATATATATGTATATATATATATACATATATATAATACATGTATACGTATACATATACATGTGCATACGTATATATATATATATATATATAATGTATATATACGTATACCTAAGAGTGGTGAGAGGTATACAAAACTCGAAACCCCAGGCGGGATTGAACCCGTGTATTACTGAGACCGAGAGTGCCGCGTACTGCCTCTGTACCATCGATGCCATCGCTCTACTATCACTCTTTCTTCGATATGAATTATACGTACCTTTCAGCAACCAACCTTTAACAATCTGTTAGAAAGCAGCAAAAATACAGATCCAGCTTAACTTGGTTTAATGCCGATAGGTGTTTACCACACCAAACCCGTTAAAGGTTGATTACTGATAGCTGCGATAGGTTATATCGAAGACTGGCAACGAAGCGGTGGCCTCGGTAGTGCAGAGGCAGTACGCGGCGGCATTCTCGGTCCCAGTGATACACGGGTTCGATCCCGCCTGGGGTCTCGAGTTTTGTATAGCTCTCAACACTCTTAGATCCATATTTTAAGCACTATAGCACTGCCAAAAACAAATTAAAATAAAGAATTGATGCAAATTTTACTCCTGAATGGTCGAGAAATTTCGCCGACTTTGAAAAATCAAGCTTCATGGTAACTACGTCGGCAAAAAATCGATAAGATCATGGCGGTCCTAACACGAAAAAAAACGAAAATACAAGAATACCGTATCTCGATAAATCCAAAGAAACCCAAAGGATCAGGAATCGAGACCGAAGGTGAAAGCAAAGTGGCGGAACAGCGTCAGATGTGCGTGTAAAATTACGTAATATCTACTGTAACGTACACAAGCAACGTGCAATTATACGACCTAATCCACGCAGTCATGATACGGTAAGAAATGGGAGCGAGCATGGAGCAGCCGGCGGATGGCCTGTTCTCGTTGGGGGGAAGGGTGGGATGGTCAGCTGGTGGTGGTGCGGTGTAATGGAAAGGAGGGCGACGGTTCGACCCCGTCCTCCGCAAGTAATCAATAAAGGGATGAAGCTCGGCGTTAACCACCCATGAGGGATGCCATGCCTGATCCCTACGGTGACGCGCAATCGCCTCCCGCTGTCTCTAGTCAGTGCTGCTTATCCTCCCAAACAAGTCTGAGACGGATCTGATATCAATTTAGCAACCCGGAGGATATATGGCTTGGTGAGCCATAAGCGCGAGATCGAACCATCGACCTTGTATGCGATGCGGAGCACCCACAACCACTGCGCCGCATGCGCTCTCGAGTAATCGATGGGAATGTAAAGTAGATAACTAGGTTTTTTTTTCGATTTGATCGCTTTTAGCGGTGGTATGATGTCAAATATATATCCAATGATGTTGAGTGATGCAAAACCTTGAACGTCTCGACGGGATTCGAACCCGCATTTTCCCTTTACCGAGGCGTGTGCTGACCATTGCACTATCGGCGCTTCTTTCTGCCTTTACTCTTTCTTCGACACAATTTCATCGATCTGTCAGCAACTAACCGTCAACTGTTCAGCATGGCAAGCCGATACCGATAGAGAGAGTGATAGCAGAACCAAGCGTCGGTTGTGGAATGGTTAGCACGCGCCGACGAAGAGCGAGAAAAGAGGGTGGTTCAATCTCGCTCCACGTCCAAAGTTTTGCACATTACTGAAAATTATTGGATTGAATAGATAACATGTCTTCATGAGTTACCGTGCGGATAAGAGCAATTCTTGGACTTGATTCGCTTCCTTCTAAAGATCTTTCACAAAGGTCATCGAACCCTTCACGAGTTGCTTCGGCTGCTGCTTGAGGGTTTCATACTCTTCATGAAGGTCACAGTAATCCTGGAGGTAGCCGAGCTGAAGCCCCACGTGGTTCGAAGAGTGCTGGGAGAGGGGTTAAGCCAGTATCTTGCTTACTGAGGGACTGCATCACTAACCCCTCCGCCATCCTCCTTACTCCGTTTCGTTT